GGCGCCCACTGCGCTGCCGAGCGACCCGGTACCTAGAGCCCGGGTGTCCCGGTGCCATGTGGGGGCGGGGCCCGCACTGAGACCCCCCCAGTTCACGGGGCGCCCCACCCCCACCCTTAAAGCGGTAATATTTTTGGAAAGAAATGATTAAAAACTAAGACGTAAAGCGAATCCCAGAGCTGCAGCTGCCCCGGTCCCCGTGCTCGCCAGGGTCCTGTGTGGCTGCCCAGCTGCGCGGTTAGGGACCGGGTCGCAGGCGGCTGCCCAGCTGCGCGGTTAGGGACCGGGTCCTAGGCGAGAGTTCTAAGAATGGCACACAGATGAGTATGATTGCAACAAAGGGAGGAAGGTAGGTGTAGGACAAAAAGGAATCAGGGAGTTTTTATGAGTTTGAGCACAGAAATGACATAGTCATGCTTACACGGGCTCTGAAGAACCCGCCGGTGAGCGCAGAGTCGGCGCGGCCGCCAGGGGTCAGTGTCTCCACGGACTGACCCAGATGTGTATGTATCCTGAGGGCTGAGCCGCACTTTTGTGATGTAGAACTCATTTTTATTATAAATCCATTTTGATGAGATATTTTCAAAGTATGGCTTGTATCTTTCAAAACTGTTTTATATTCAGAACTATAAAGTCGGTGGCACGTGAAACGCGTCCGAAGTGGGCGCCCACAGCCCAAGCAGCCGCCGCCGCCGCCGCGCAGAGCCGCGCCTTCTCCCTCAGGCCCTGCGCTGCGGGCCCCGCCCTGCTGCCCTGGTCTCCGTCACTTTGTTAAAGGTCGCCGGAGCGTCCGGGAGCGGGGCGGGGCTTGGCTGTCGCTTGTGCAGGGGTGAGCTCAGGGAAGCACCTCTCAAGTCGCAGGGCTCTGCCTGGGTACCCGTTGCTGCCCTTTTCCGGTGTTATAAATGATGTCATGGCCACCTGTGTCCCAAAAGCTCTTCTTCACTTGAGTGGGGATAGGGGGTGGGGAGGGGGTTCCTTATGAAAGGGGCTTACGGAGGCATTAGGGAGTCAAGGTCACACCGGGGAAAGGAAGCAGCTAACATGTCATGGAGAAAAGCGCCCCAGCTTCTCCGCACACCTGTCTGCCCGTTCAAAGTGGCGTTTACGGTGTTCGTGTCCCGCGCTCTGTGGTGCAGTTCTGGAAACTCTCGGAGGAGGGTGTTTTTAAAAAGCTTCAGTGAGTTTTTTCCCCCAAAGCACTTGGTTCTGACAGTGAGAATAATGTGTAACTAGATCCTGGAAACTGACTGACAGTGCCGAAGGCCAATACCTAGTTCTAAGAGCGAAAAGAAGAAACACACATCTTTAACCTGTTGGCTGAGCATTTAATGTTTATAGGGATGAGAGGGAGAAAAATACTCCTTTCAAAATACAGCTCTCTATGTTCCCTTAAAGCGTGAGCGTCTATATTTTTCTAATGTCCGTATTTCTATGATGACTTTCTCCCTGCTCTCCGGTGGATGTGTATAAAACAGTGGACTCTCTGTTGTCCACACACCGCATGGTGGTGTGAGTGGCATTTAAGTTGCTTCTGAAACCGGGCAGCAGCGGCAGTGGGCAGAGCCTCAGTCCCCCAGCATCTGTCCTGTCTCAGAAAGGGCAGCTCTGCCATCACGGTGGCTCAGACCGAAACCCAGGAGTGCCCGTCACCTTCTGCACCCCCACTTCATCTGCAGCCCATCCTGCATCCCGCCTGCTGCGTCCTCATCCACCTGCAGTCAGTCTCGCCCCTGTCAGAGTCATGCCGTCCTCCTGGGACACGTCCAGCAGTGTCCGCAGCCTCACTGCTTTGGGTCCTGCCCGTGTGCTTAGCAGCCAGACCTAGGCGGCCAGAAGGTGCGTCCTGACAGGGCCCTCAGGGGTCAGCCTCACTCCCCGCCCCCTCCCCCAAGTGAGAGCGAGGCCTCCGCCTGCCAGGCACTGTCCCTGTCCCCGTCACAGGACACCCTCCTCGCAGACACGCTTTCCGGTGTCTCGGTCCGGATGGCTGATCACGGAGGTTGGCGGCAAGTGGCACTTCTCTGCCCCGCTTCCCCTGGAATTTCCTTGCGGGCTACCTGTGAATCCTTGACCCAAATGGGCTTCCCGTCTTCTTGTTAATTTCTAAGAAATGCAGCAAACGCAGATGAAGCCACCTCGATAACCCCAATCTGCTCTGTCCCCTCCGTCCTTCTGGGGGTCATGACCCTTCTGAAGGTTTTATGTGTTTTTAAAAATGTGGTGAATGAATTATGTGCATAAACAGTGCCTGCTGTTTTGCATGTTTCAGCCATGTATGTGATGATGTACTTTCTGAGGCTGAATCATGATTCACAGAGTAAGCACAGTTAATGTTAAAAAAATAGAAAAGGAAGGTGGGCGGGTCAGTGGGCGGGTCGGTGGGCGGGTCGGTGGGCGGGTCTGGGCGGGTCTGGGCCGGTCGTGGCTGGATGGGAGGGATGGAGGGAGGAAGCAAAGGGAGAGGAACTCAGTGTCCGCTCTGCAGTGACCGACCACATAGGGGTCCCTGCTCTTCCCACCCCAGGTCCTCACTGGGCCTTGTTCGTGAGGCCCGGCCGTGGGGACAGGCGCGCAGGAGGCCCCTTGAGCTGCCAAGCCCTTCCTTCGGGAAAGGGGGTCACAGGACGCCCCTCAGGGCCACTGCTCAGACTCCACGCACAGGTGTCCGGGTCTTGAGAGCTTTCCGTCCAGGGGACCCCTGGGGCAGGGCCTGCGACGTGGTGTGCCGACAAGCTCCCAGGGGAAGCGGACACCGCGAGAACCCAGGCAGAAGCGCCGGTGCAGTGCGGAGCCAGACGTAGGGTGGCAGGTGGCAGAGGCCGGGCTCAGCTGGCACCGGGCCAGCGGGTCCTTGGGGTGGGGGGGCCACGCTGAAAGGTCGGGGTGAGGGACATGTGGAGAGGCAGGCCCGGTGGATGGGAGGGGACGGCCACACGGGACGTTGGGGTGCTCTTGGTTATTGTGCGTGTGTGTGCGTATGCGTGTGCACGTGCGTGTGCTCGCACGGATGTGCATATGTGTGCATGTGTCTCGGGCAGTTCTCAACGGCTGTAGGTCGGAAACTCCTATATCCAGAAATAGACCACAGACGACTTCCCGCTTCCCAGTGTTTGGCGCTCCGCGTGGCGTGAGGAGGCTCAGAGCTTGCTCTGCATCCCATGATCAGAACGATGCCACATTCGAGCGGCCGAGGACCTTCGCTGCCCCTGATGACTGACCGTGGGTCTGTCATTACATCGTAAGAGTCACTCTTTTGAATGGTGGCCTTCAATAAAGCCTGACTCGGGTGACATTTCCTGCTGGGTGACTCCCTTCAGAGGGGACACTGAGACCAACTTTCAGGAAGGGACACTTCAGACTTCAGGGTGCGGAGCTGCGTGCCGCGAGAATTTGATCAGGTTGGACGGTAACTACTGGGTGGACATTCTGAGGGGACAGAAAAGGGAGGAAAAGCAAGAGCGATGAGAAGGTGATGAGTAAATCGTTCTGCCTGCCCGGCTTAAAAAAACACACATGGCATTTTCTGGTCGGAGTATTTCGGTGAAACCCTGAGAAAACATATTTAGTAACAGTTCCTAAGTGGGTCGTGCTCGATCTTTGTTTCTTTAGCATCCTGGATTTCTGTCTTACACTATCGGGAAGACTTTCTAGCTTTATAACGACAGCAACAAAAAATCAGCAAATCACAAATACAGATGATCATGAAGCTTATTCTTTTGAAAATACAATGATTTACAGAAAAAAAAATAGATTTTCGTTTGCGCTTGAATTTCGTCGACATCCCGGTCCTGTGCGACGTGAGTCCTGTGTGGAAGCCTGGAGG